CATCCCTTCAGGATCCCAGACCAATGCTCCTTCTCACAGCCCATGGTGCACTGGGCAGACCTGGCCTCATACTGCTTCTCTGCACACTGTAAAGCTGAGTTCCACATGTCCTCTCAGCCCACCTGCCGTGTTACAGCCAAGGCTAATCTAGGGTGGCCGACAGAAATGAAGCAGAGCCAGGGACATTCCCACAGGCCGCTGCCACAGCTGTGGCAGGCACCTGGCAGGGAGGGGCTCCATGCTCTCCTCCTGTAACACACAGAGAGGCAGCCATCACTTCCTCTATATTTGACAGGGAGCTGTGCTCTAAAGCAGCAGCAACGTGCAAGCTCAAGCTGAGCACCAGTCTAGTAGCCACACTGACAAAACAAGGCTCCCACAAAGAGAGAGAGAGAACAGATGTGAGGTTCTTAAATACATCCCACACGTAGATGACATAGCTCCTGAAACTTCAACATCAAAAATCTATTTTTTGTGGGTAAAACTCTTTTGACATCTTTTAACATATACAGACATACCTAAGAGGGATAGAGGACTAAGATGTTGACTGCCATCACTTTAGTATGAATTAATCTATGAATTCACTATCTTTCTTCTTAGCAACTGTTCCTGGAGAGAGATTACGAGCATCTTACTGGAAGAAGAGACAGCTGAAGGCAGAGAGCAAGAAGGCCTAACTATAAGGGGAGGTGGAATGACCAAACATGAACTCGGCCTTTCTTACAGTTTTACCCAGGGACACCTCTGAAAGGAACACAATTGCAATGCCCTGGTAAGAACTCATTTGTAGTAGTATCTGAGATTCCTTTCTTATCACTAAAACTAATAAATTAATATAATGAGGATATCCAGAAATATGACAGTGCCAGAATTCTGATGTTTCTAGTGTACAATTAAGGAACATAGAACCATAAGATTTAGTCCTAGAGAGCTGGTGTAACTCTGAAAAAGGAAACCATGCAATGACTAAACACAATCAGACCTGGTCTAAGGTGCATGGCCTTCTACTGCTGGTCCCTTGTAACTTAACGCCGAAAGCTGGGGCAGCACATTCAGAATCTCACCCTCACCCCCCTCACTCTTGCCTCTTTTCTCAGGTCTGGGTTTGTCTGTACCATGGTTGTACCCATGTTCCATGTGCTATGAGAATGTGCTTACCAACAGTATTCTGTAATACTACATTACATTTTATTTGACTGAGTTATGAGCAGATTCATTTTTCTTACAAATCCTATATGTACAAGATACCAAGCAAAACAAAAAGACCTTTAGCAGGCAGAAGACCCCCACACTGTAATCCAGTCTTTTCATGCTTAGGTATCTGCTAATTTCAATATCAGAGCAAAAAATAATAATAATAATAAGATGCAGCAATTGAGACAACAGTTTGAAAAATGTTAACTTTAAAACATTTCACCCACATAAATAAGAACGGTTGGCTGAAAGGAGAGAAAACCATTTCTTAAAGAAGGGTTCACAATTTGTAAAATGCCAATACCAAACAGACAAACTATTAAGCCACATGTTTAAAAATCTTTACAAAAACTTTAGTAATGGTGAAGCACCTTGTAATGGACTAACCCTTGCACCAAAAACAAAAGCTCTAGAAAATCTATTTCTAAACAGTTAGTTGAAAACACTGTACAGCAATCCAAAAAAAGGAAAAAAGGCAGAAATTAGAGGAAATTTCACCCTTGAAAGTAGGCAATGGCCTTGGGCAAGATCCACATTTGCAGGCTATTTCCCAAGATTATTCCTTGAGCTGCATAGGTTGGGTGAATAGAACTCAAAGAGAAAGCACATTTGCATTAGCTCCAAGAGTAAAAAGACAAGATTCAGGTCTACCAGATGAGTGGAAATTGAACAGAGAAATCCTGGAAAGGATGGGGTTTCAGGAAGACGAATGTCCAAATTCATAAACTCCCAAATCCATGATCCTCCTAAAGTGTGCATGTGCAAAGGAGGCTCAGTCCAAGAGGTCTAGAAAAAAACAAGAGCCAGAACATTGAAAGAAATAAATTGAGATTTCAGTTGCAGGAGAGAGGTTGAAGCACAAGTTCCACAAAGTTAAAAGGATTTAACACACCTTGGGCTTTTCATTGAAATCCCAGATGGACTGTGCCTTATGAGCAAAGGCTATGTCCCAAAACTATGGTGTTTGCCCAAGAACTAAGGGCAAAAAAATTTTAAATTCCTTTCTAAAAAGCCATCACAAATTTAAGGTAATAACCAGTAATTTACCTGCCTCATGCTAGAAAATAAAAAAGAATAAAGGAGTAAAACTATATGATCATTTCAATAGACAAATAAGAAGCATTTGCTAAAATATAAGTCACTCTTGATTTAAAAAAAAAACATTAGAAACCTAGGACTAAAAAAGGAATATCCTCAACTGTGAAAAAAGGCAAATTCAAAATGCATATCATAATTAATGAGGGAAGACTAAATTCCTTCCTCCTAAGATTTGTTATGAAGTTAGGAGGTCCTAAAGGCTCTAGGCAATGTAAGGCATGAAAGGGAAAGCCATAAATATTAGCAAGAAAAAAAGAAAACCACCTTTATCATAGACAATATGATTGTTTACAGGAAAAATTCCTGAGGTAGCTACAAAAAACAAAACAAAGCAAAAAATCCTTACTAGAACAAATAAATGAATTTATTAAGATCATGACATATAGAATATAAATCAATATACAAAAAAAATTCATTTGTATATACTGGTAACAATTTCATAATGAAATTTTAAAAATACCATTTATAACAGCATCAAAAAGTTCAAAATACTTAGGAATACATTTTTTAAAACATGTACAAGAGCTCTACATTGAAAATTACATAATATTGCTAATATTGATGATATTTATGAGGGACATTAAAGACCATCAGAAAATGGAGAGAAATACCATGTTTATGGATTTGAATTTGACTTCATAACTGATAGGATGTCAGTTTTCCTTAAATTGATCTATAAATTTAATGCAATTTTAATTCAATATGCAGCAGGCATTTGTGTGGAAATTGATAAGCTGACTCTACAACTTACATCAAACTTCAAAACACTGAGAATAACTAAAATAACCTTAAAACAAACAAAAAGAATAAAGTTAGAGGACTCACACTGCTTTAACCTTAAAACTTAATATAAAGCAACAGTAATAAAGATAATATGGTATTGACATAAAGAGACACAAAGGGATCAACAGAACAGACAAACCATAAATTTATCCACTTACACTGTCAGTTGAATTCTTGACAAAGATTCCAAGGTGAACCAATGGGAAAAACAGTCTCTTCATCAAATGTTGCTAAAACAAGTGGATTACAATATAAAGAAAAGCAATCTCAACTCCTTCACACAAAAATACTGATGTACAAGTGAGCAAATACCTAAACATACCACAAGATAGACCTAAACATTAAAGCTAAACCTATGAGCTTTTGAAAGAAAACAGAAGACTAACCTTGTGACCCTATGATAGATTTCTTAGGACAAAAAATGTATAAACTATGTAAGAATTGATAAACTGGTTTTCACAGAAATTTAAAACTTCAGCTCAAATACACCATTAAAGAAATAAAAAGGCAAGCCACAAAAGGGAGAAAGTATTTACAATACATACTCCTCAGAAAAGATGCATATTCAGAAAACATAAAGAAGTCCTGTATCGATAATAAAAAGATAAAAACCCGATTTTAGAAAATAAGGCAAAAAGACTTGAACTGGCACTTGGCACAAAAATATATAAAAGAACCAATAAGCACAGGAAAAATTATTCAAATCAAGGCAATGCAAATTAAAACCACAAGATATCATTTCATACCCACTAGAATGTCTAAAATTAAAAAGAATGGCCATATCAAGCATTGATGAAGATATAGAATAATTGGATCTCTCATACATTGCTGGTGGGAGTATAACAATACAACCACTTTGGAAAACCATTGAGAGTTTCTTATGAAGTTAAATATATATCTACTCAATTACCCAGCAAGGCCCCAGCTAAGTATTCACCCAAGAGAAATGAAAGAATATGTCCACAAAAGCTTATGTACAAGAATGTTTATAGAAGCATTACTCATAATAACCAAACAGGGGAACCTCCAAATGTCCATCAAGAGGAGAATGGGTAAACTAATTGTGGTACACTTATAAAATGGAGAACTCAACCACCAAAGGAATAGGATACTTATATACACAATGACGTGAATGGATATCACAGAAATTATGCTGAGTGACAGAAATCAGACACAAAATGCACAACGTGGTTCCTTTTATATGAACTACCAGAACAGACAATACTAATCTATGGTGAAAAACAAAACAAAAGATTACATTTATTGCCTGTGACAGCAGGTGGTGGCCTGGGAAGGGACACAAGAGAACTTTCAGAGTGATGGCAATGTCCTACATATCTTTGATTGGGGTGCTGCTTACAGGATTATATATGCATTTGTCAAAACTCAGATTCTTCATTTCTGATCTGTTCATTTCACTGTATATAAATTTCTCAACATTTTAAGAACTGAGGAGTGGGAAGTACAGTTGATGCCAGGGGGAAAAGAACACAATCCTTTAACTGACAGAATAAGATAGAGATTAAAAGGAAGAGAATGTGATCCTTTAGATCCTTTAATTTTTAATACATTCAGGAGCAAAACTAAAAGGTTGGCCCAAAAACCAAAAATCTAAAGTACAGTTTAAGAGACAAAAACCAAAAGAGGCAAGAACCAACTCATCTAAGATGGTGATGAATTAATAAAAAAAATCAGTGAGTATGTTAAACACAACATGAGATTTTCAGGTTTTGCAAATATATTTACAGGATAATCCAGCCAATAGACCATTAAGCAACAAAATACTAGCCAGTTTAACTTAAAACAGTTTTTTTTAAAAGCTTCTTTTACAAAATGCTCTTTTTGTAATTTCCATGATAAAAATTCCTACGGAGTTTGAACTAAGATTACACATATATGAGAAATAACCCAAAACTCATTCTCACCTTCAGTGAAGCTGCCTGTCAAGGTTATCACCACAAAGACTTTCCCTTCTGGCTCCAGATCCACCTATAAAGAGAGAAAAAAAAATTGTTTGTTACATTCTAATTTTAAAGTACTTCATGTGAGCCTCAAATAATTAATTACAGAGTCTTAATTATACAAATCACAGCCATACATCAGATCTAAGTCTCATTAAACAGTGGAGGGGCAAGAAACGAGTGAAAGTGCAAGAAACTGCAAAGGCTGAGATGCAAACCTAAAAGAAACAGTGCTTCCAACAATTTCCCTCTTTTGAATTTTTAGTCTCTCCCATTTAGACTCTTCATGATTCTGAGAGGCACCCACGCACTTGGTCACTGTTTTTGAGACATCCCTATCTTATGCACACCATTTGTAAGAGCATCATTTTATTAAACCATGTGGCAAGTGTATGAAATAGATAAATAATGTCAGCATACAAGGTAGTGAACAACTGCAAACCTTTAGTTTTAGGAAATAAGAAGTACAGAGAGAGGAGGGCTGTCTCCATTTATACCATTTTCACCTAAGTGTAGATAATCTGCAGGAAATGCTAAGGAAGGTAGTTCAGAAGCTTGGCATTCACTACGCTGTTCATGCGTGTTTCAGTGTCCCTTAAAGTTATCATGTGCACTGAAATAACAAGACATACATTCTGCAGCCGAGGCAGCCCCCACGTCTCTCACTAGGTCCCGTCCTCTACACACTCTGGCTTCCCAAAGACCCTCACAGCATGGCTCCAGAACAGGGCAGAGCCCTCTCCATCGGCTCTGATCACACTAGCCCAGCTAGCAGGCTCTGCCCTCCTTATGCAGCATGCTAACCTTGAACTAGCCATGAACACCTCTAAGCCTTGAATTGTGAGGTTCTTTTGAACCCAAATACATGAATTTACCATTGTCCTTAAATAAAATTTTGTCAGATTCAGCTCATGGCTCCATTTCTGCCTTTGACCTTTCTTCAAGGAGAGAGAAGTCCAGAGAAGCTGAGTATAGCTATGGATGGTTATTTTTGGTAGAATATTAAATTTAAACAAGCTGTAAATCATGTGGTTCAGTGTCAGAACTAGACCAGTACATGGCCTCCAGCCTGACAGCCACAGCTGGCTCCGGACTCTGGGCAAGGTCCTGAACTACCCCGAGCTTCACTTTGTTATTTGAAAGTCTACGATGTCGTTATTCAGCATTTCTGGCATGGCTTCTGTCAGATGATATCCAAGAGCCTTATCAGAAGTATTCACTATTTATATTGCACCTATGGGGACAAAGACTGAAAAAAATGAATTGATCTTACTGTTGTTCAGCACCACATATTTTTTAACCACACCTTGATCAGACACTTTTTCAAAATAGAAGATGCTTGAATTTGTACTGACTCAGAAAGCTTTATCTGTATTATAGCCTATTTTCTTAAAACCTCCCTTTCTCTGCATCATTTCTGTTATCACTGTGATTACCACACTGTAAACCACCCCAGTGTTCAAGTCAGCTACTTGTATCACAAATACTGCTAAGTTAACAATATCCCCTTAACTATCTTAATACCACTTGTGAACCTTATAGAACAGTTCTGAAAATAGAGCTCTCTGGAGATATGACTAAACAGGATGTCAGTCTCTAATTGTCTTCACTCTCTGCCTTGACTTGTTTCAAGTAAAAAATGTTATTTTTAAAAGCCACACCTTCATCTTCAATATAAAGACCTGGCAGAGAGACCTCACAACGTAACTGCTGCTGGCACAGAAGGAGCTGCTCCCAGCCTCCAGACAGACAGAATGCTGGGACCGCCTCCGCAGTCCTCCAGCCCATGATCAGCCCGTAAACTCTCTCCAACACTGCCCCATGGGACCACAGAGAAGGCCACTCCACCCCAGCGGGTAAGGAGCTGCTCTGACAGACACCAGGAGATTCCACCACCTAGAATCAGGAGTTCTCACAAATAGAACAGATTCACTTCCCTATTTTTAGCCCATGCCACCATCATGGAGAAGCCAGACTCAAATGCCATCTTCAAGCCCAGTCCATTTAGGACCTCTGACTTCTGAACAGGGTTTTGCAAACAGCAAGTGCTCAGCAGTTTAGTTGGACATGAGAACAATGGAGTAGGTTACACACAACAGGGACTTTTAAGTAGAATATAATGGAACAGTAAATAGGAACACGCCTAGTAGTATGGAAAAGTACTAAGCCATGAAGCTTCTGTTGGCAGTTTCATATGCATGTATAGGGTATGCTAACTGGGTTTTAGTGTAAAATGTATTCCTTACTGTATCAAGAAAAACATTTTGAAAAAGATGGCCTTAGAAGTTATACTTCATTTTACATAGTGCTGACAGCCTGTTGGCATCTATTCATAGTGGTTGTTGATCATCCCAGTGACAGACAACTTGCTACCTTCACAGCTAACCTTTTTCATTCCTGTAATGCACAGAAAGGGCTGAAATGCAGCAACCAATAGTTTCCACTCATTGACCCTAGTTTTGTCCCCTATAGCTGATTTTCACTCTAGCTGAACAGTTTCTGGGAACTGCACTTCAGCTATATTCAACAACTACCTCTTTCTTACAGTAGTCCAAATGGTTCAGCTAGGGTTCTATCCCTAGTTCCAGAGTGGACACGCAGTCTGGGACTCATCAGTCAGAGCACTGAATTCCTCCAGCCACGACATCTGGCCTGAAGCTGACCCTGGCCCTGTCTGGCCATCTGAGTAATTGCTACTCCCTACCCTCATTAAATGGTTCAGGTTTGGGCACAAGATTCAAGTAGGTCCAATAAGAAATCCCAATCTACAAGGAAGAGATGAGATCTCACTTCTACTGAACTTCAGTCTGGGAGAACACAAACTTGGAACTGGCTGGCACCCTTCTTGTTACATTGGGCTGAAGAACAAAGCCAGCACAGAAGGAGAGGTGGGGGATGAAGAGACTATGGTTGGATATCATTTAAACACTTAGATCAAGCCTTGCTTGATTCTTCTGGACTTCTGTAACTTGAGTCTGCAAATTCCTTTTGCTTTGGCTAATTTGAATAGCATTTTTTGTCTCCTGCACCCAAAAACTTACTCAAATTGGCAGCAAAAGACAGTAAATCCCATATTTGAAAACAGTTATCACCTCCTTTATTTACCCTTTAACATCCATGCTACCCCCTGTGATCTGATTCTCTGCTTTCCTTGGATTTGAAACAGGTCCTGCAACCTTCATAATGTCCCACTGTCAAATCCAAAGATGTCTGTCTTCATCTCAGTTATTCTCTCTGCAGCATCTGATCCTCTTGACAGCCTACTTCACCATGAGTCTCCTTCACTCACTCCTTGCTCCCAGAGCTCCCCTTTCTTGGTCCTCCTCTTACTCATTTTTAACTTTCTCTCTCAGGCTCATTTCTAGCACCTCTATGTCTCTGCCTGCCTTTAAATCTTGCTTCTGCTAAGTCCTCTTTTCCTTCCATTGAAAGATTCAGACTCATGATTTCAAAACCCACCTGAGATTCTTTGGGGTGGGGGTAGAAAAAAGAAATGAACATATCAGAACTTCCTAGAGGGTGCTGGCTGAGGGTAAGTGTCAGTGTCAGATTTCATTTCTTAAGTGTCTCAAGCAAAGACTTCATTCCCAAATCTATATATCCACCTTTCTAAAAGTCTCCATCTGTGTCCCACTGAGAAAAATTCCTTTAATTCAACATGCCAACATGTCTGGAATCCAAATTCTCATCCTGACTGACACCCTGCATTCCTGACTCCACTATTTACCCAACAGCCCAGGTTCCTCAGCACGTACACATGGTTCCACCAGGTCCCATCAAGCCCACTTTCTGAGCCTCTCCTAAAGCTGCCCCTCCTCCCCACTCCTAACCACCATGCCCCACCTGGCCTCTTGCAATGGCCTATCAGCTGATCTGTCTCCAGACTCACCATCCCTGAGCTGCTGCAGTGACATATCACAAAAATGAAAATCTGACCATGTGACTTCCTAACTTAATATCCTTCAGTGTTTCTTCTCCTTTCCATTAATAAGGTCCAAACTCCTTAGTATGGCACATAGTCCTACATTCCCCACCATCCCAAATACATACGTGTTTCCCAGCCTCTTTTAATTGCCTATAGACTCTCCAAATTCATTTCGTTTGAGAGATCAAGAAAACATGTTATAGTTCAGACACTGTACTGGGGAATGTAGTAAAAATTGTGCAGTGTACACATTATGTATCTGAAGCTTATTGCCTAGTGATTCAGGGCATGCAATCTTTCTGGTGTCTTTTTTCTCAAACTCCTATTTGTCCATCAGTACTCAAGTCAAAAATCACCTTCCCAGGGAGATCTTTCCAGACTTCTTTTAGACAGTTGGGCAATTTACAGTTATAGAGACTATCACTGGAACCCACATCATGTCGTAGTCCTTATGCACTGTCCCTTAGGACCTTACTGAGAACATAGAGGACCAAAATGGCTGTGAAATAAATGAGGAAATAAACTAAGAAACATGGGAATCCCCAAGCTCCTTTAGCAGCTTCATACAGGACACGGTTTTCTCTTCTTTCGGCACTCTCATCGGTTTCATCTAGATAAGCCCCAATTTCTCCATACCCCCATTAAAGAGTGAACCAGCCTGAGGGTGTAACCTGACTTACACAGGGGAGAGCAAGATTATCACCACTCTTGATCTTGACAGTGACAGTGTCTTTTACTGATGCAGCTAGACTCGGCACTTTGAGAAGCTCCAGGGACCCAGGTGGAATTTACATCAGCTAAAACCTTGGCATCTTCTCTGTGTGCTGTAAGGCTCTGCTTTGCATGTCCTGTGCAGTCACTAGGCCCCAAATCCTAAGACTTCTTTTTTCCTGTACAACTTTAGCTTGTTGTTTGAGGCCCCAAGGCTCACTAGATCCCAAGTCCAGTCAGTTTAATCACCTTACTTCTCAGCTTTAACGCCTCCTGCATCAGGGCCTAGAGTAGCTAAGTCATCATGTAAAGCACTGACAGAGTGTCCGGCAGAACAGGGCTAAGGCCAGAGTGCTAGGCAGGATTGTAGAAGAGAAGGCGATGCATTTTGT